TACTGCCAGAGTTATGGCCCTTGATCACTCTGAAAAATCTTGTGGATGCTCTAGAGGCCAAAGTTAATATCCGATTGACTTTCAATTTATACACAGTGTTTAAGGTCATGAGACGAAGAAGCCTATTGATTTTCAATGATTTCCAATATTTGCTGCGAGAGTTATGGCCCTTGATCACTTTCAAAAATCTTGTGGACGCTCTAGAGGCCAAAGTTAATATCCGATTGACTTTCAATTTATACACAGTGTTTAAGGTCATGAGACAAAGAAGCCTATTGATTTTCAGCAATTTCCGATAATTACTGCCAGAGTTATGGCCATTGATCACTTCAGACAATCTTGTGGATGCTCTTGAGGCTCAAGTTAATATCCGAATGAGTTTAAATTTATACACAGTGTTTGAGGTCATGAGACGAAGATTCCTATTGATTTTCAACGATTTCCGATAATTACTGCCAAAGTTATGGCCCTTAAGTTATCATCTGATTGACTTCAGATTGATACACAGAGTTTAAGATCTTGAGACGAACAAGTATATTGATTTTCAGTGAATTTTTATGACTTGAACAGTTAAATCAACCATATTAAAAGCTTTGCATACAAAACGTTAGCATGGGGCAGAACTTTAAAAAAACCAAACAAATTCTAATAGTTTTCTGATAATTACTTCGTGGGTTGTTGCTCTTAATCAGATTTTAGTGTATTATAAATGTTTCATTACAGAAAAAAGTAAAAATATGCGACAACCCTTGTTGACTGCCCGGTCGATTTAGTTGCTGTGGGCTGTGTTTGGTTGCCTGGCAACCTATCTTTTTTGTTACCGATAGAGTTATCTGTCGGCACCGGAAGTGGCTTAAATTACCAAAAACTACAATTTTGACAGTTAGGTACCAGTTTTCGAAAGCAAATATTATTTTTTTTAAAAAACTGATATAATTAAAAGAGTGTGCCCTTTAAAGGCGCACAAAATGTTGGGATCGTTTTTTTTAATTTCGATTTCATTTTTGAGCAAATTCGATTAAGAGGTGAAAAAAGGTGTAAAATTGATCTATTTACAACCCATTCAGGCTTTTCAGATTTTAAAATATTTCTACGTAACTTTTATAAACTTGTAGCTATAATCCATACGAAGAAAATGTATGTTAAAATTAGTTTTTAATATAAGCAGTTACCTAGAAATGGGCAATTTTGCATAAGTCACTGTTTTCGTTATTTTGCCTGTAAAATAGTCAATTATTATTGGATTTTCACAAAAGTGACACCATTTGATTCAAAAAGCAAGCATGCGTCATATCAAATTGATTACAATTTAAAATTGACACCGGAAGTGACGCCATTTTGTCAAAAAATGCATTTTTAACTTTTAAAATCAATATTTTTTTCAACCAAGAATTATTTAATATGTATTAATAATTTTAACTTTTGGTTTACATTCACATATTAATAAAATTCATAAGGTCATATAGATTTCACAAAATTGTTTCTAACTTGTTCAGTTGCGGAGAAATAGGCGATTTTTATCAGGTCACTTTTCAAGGTTTTTGGTCCATAAAAGTGTCAATTATTATTCGATTTTCATAAAATTTTCACTGTGTGATACCTAATGCCATTTACAATTTCATACAAGTAATTTAAGATTTTCGTTATCACCGGAAGTAACGTCATTTTGGCAAAAACTGTATTTTTAGCCTTCAAAACAGATATTTTATTCAAATGAGTCTGATTTGTAATGTTTTTAAAATTATGATATTTGATTCCGATCAACAAATAGATTGAACCCATACGATCATACAGATACCAGAAAATGGTTTCTAACTTGTACGGTTGCAGAGAAATAGACGGTTTTCTACAAGTCACTTTTCAAGGATTTGGGCTATAAAAGTGGCAATTATTATTCGATTTACATAAAATTTTCACCATGTGATGCCTTATGCCATTTCTGATTTCATAAAACTAATTGAACAATGACTCTAAATTCTCCGCTCGAAGTTTTGACAATTGTATACGTTATTAGCACTCGCTGCCAAACATTAAATAGCCTCAACTGATTGACAGATTAATTGTTTTACAGTATTAACCTCCTCACTCCATAAGCAAAATTTCAAAAGGAAACAAGTATGATGTGATGAAATAATAATAAAATAGAATAGTAAAATTGTTTATATTATCACTTGAGTGCGCAATGCTGTGGGGTCAAGGTTGACATATGGGTCACTGGGTCAAAGGCTGTAATACTAATAATTTAAAAATATATATTCAAGTCTTATTTTGGTGCAACAAATAGTTTGATAGAAATTTTTTATGGGTTAACCGGTTACGGTTGGGTTTTTAACAACCAGTTAACCGGTTCAAGAATTTTTGAACCGTTACATCCTTACTTCTTGGGTTTACGGGATACAAGTTAACACTGTGTTTAGACTTCCCGCAATGAAATTTATTCATAACGACCTAGGTCACGTATATATTCTCACTTACTGATTGGTTCAATAGCAGTAGATTATCGGAATGAGGCAAACGACTTTGGCAGAATAAATGTTAGATGTTTTTATTTTACTTTTTTGATTCGTGTTGATTGAGCAAAAATGGGAGGGCCGCAGATTACAGGAGTAGTTATACACAAATTTATTCACCTCATTGATTTTTTGGATATCATGGATAGTCTTAATAATTGTGGCTAAAGGGAGGCAAGTTTTTTTGTTCGCTGCTCAAACAATTTGCAAATTGAAAGTAAGATTTCATACTCGGCATACACAGACACTCATAAACATTGAAATAAGTAAGAAATTATGAGTATATGAACTTTTGATGTGATTTTGTTCAAGAATTTCATGTTTCCGAATTATCCGAATAGTATTCGGATAGGAAACAAAAGTATTCGGATCACAAATCTCGATCCGATTTTCAACACTAAATTCGTATCGCAACAGGTCAGTACTAAAACTAACACTTATTACAATATTTCAACATTGTGCAGCAAAATAGACATTCGGCGGCAAAACTGAACGATGACCAACAACTAAACACATCGTAATATCTGAACATCGCATGTGAAATTTGATGTTTGACAACAAAATTGAACACCTTGCGTAACTAGACACCTTGACAGATTTTAAATCACGGCTCAGGAAATTGAACGGTCCAACTAATTATTGAACAGTCGTGCTAATTGGACGGGATGCTTATAATTCAACACGTGTCGAGAAACTAAACACTAGTTAATTAGACGCTTGGTAATCAAAATTAAACAGTGAGATTGAAATTCGATAGAAGTACAAATTGAGCACTATTCGCCGAAATTCAACAATATTTATGAATAATTGGAAACAGAGTAGAAATCAACGCTATTTACGCTAGATTAAACGGTACCAATGTTACAGTGTATAGTGAATGACCCATGTGCTGTACTTGACAACGGAAGGTAAATTTCACCTACACATTATTTTTATAAAATAAAAGTCTGGTTTTATCCAGACACTGCATAATACAGCTTGGGACACTGGTCTCCATTTTCCAGATGAAGACTGGCGGTTTTAAGTTGTTTGAAAACTTATCACAAATATTGAGTTAGATGCTCAGCCCTTAGCTAAAGGATTTTAAGGGATTTTAACACAAAATTAAGCAGTCTTATTCTCCCCAAAAATATCGGGATTAGCCCTTCACATTATTTTTATAAAATAAAAGTCTGGTTTTATCCAGACACCACATAATACAGCTTGGGACACTGGTCTCCATTTCCAGATTAAGAATGGCAGTTTAAAGTTGTTTGAAAACTTATCACAAATATTGAGTTAGTTTTTAGGCCCTTAGCTAGAGGATTTTAAGGGATTTTAACAGAAAATTAAGCAGTTTTATTCTCCCAAAAAATATCGGGATTAGCCCTTCAATATCTGATTGTCTTTAGATTTATGCACAGTGTTTAAGGTCATAAGACGAAGAAGCCTATTTGAAAACTTATCACAAATATTGAGTTAGATGCTCAGCCCTTAGCTAAAGGATTTTAAGGGATTTTAACACAAAATTAAGCAGTCTTATTCTCCCCAAAAATATCGGGATTAGCCCTTAACATTATTTTTATAAAATAAAAGTCTGGTTTTATCCAGACACCACATAATACAGCTTGGGACACTGGTCTCCATTTCCAGATTAAGAATGGCAGTTTAAAGTTGTTTGAAAACTTATCACAAATATTGAGTTAGTTTTTAGGCCCTTAGCTAGAGGATTTTAAGGGATTTTAACACAAAATTAAGCAGTTTTATTCTCCCAAAAAATATCGGGATTAGCCCTTCAATATCTGATTGTCTTTAGATTTATGCACAGTGTTTAAGGTCATAAGACGAAGAAGCCTATTGATTTTCAATGATTTTCACTTTGAAAAATCTTGTGGATGCTCTAGAGGCTAAAGTTAAATCCGATTGACTTGAAACTTACACACAGTGTTTGAGGTCATGAGACAGAGAAGCCTATTGATTTTGAACAATTTCGGATAATTACTGCCAGAGCTATGACCCTTGATCGCTTTGAAGAATCTTGTGGACGCTCTAGTGGCTGAAGTTAATATCAGATTAACTCTGTTTCCTTGCCTGGCAGCCTATCTTTTATCATTATTAAACTGACCTGATGTCATACGTGGGGATAGCCTTTATTTATGAAACGATAAAACATGCCTGTTTTCGAGGATTTGGACTCCAGTACGGTAGTGACATCTTTTAAATTACAAGTGCTAGAAAGAATGGCAGGAAAGGCCACTCGTTTCATCGTGCTGGAATTATATTGTTACCGGTAGTTATGCTTTCAAGGAATTTTCAGCTCTGGTTTTTACACGTCCATCTGTGAGATGAAGAATCCTATTGAATTTCGGCAATTTCCGTTCCTTACATCTAGAGTTATGGCCCTTGTTTCACTTTATTGAACCTTGTGAATTATTAGAAGTATATTTTGATGATTTAAGTTCAAGCAATAACTATGTCAGGAATATATTGGGATTTCTTGATTAATTACAGATAGTAAATATGATGATTCAAGATTAAGTTTGTCTTCATGGGGTCTTCCACAGCCAGTTTTAAAATATTACAGAAAAATTGGAATAACCAGATTGTTTCATTGGCAGGCTGAATGTTTATGTACTGGAAATGTATTAGGTAAGGTTATGGAATATTGAAAAAATGATATATTAGCACATTTGTCATGTCAAATCAAATGTATGCAAATCGGTTTGATTTTGTAGCAAGTTCAACAATATTCAGCTAAAAATAGTTTCTTTATTTTCCGAGCAAGCTTTCACTTTGCTCCACGAAAACTCATTTTGTCTGTCCTTGCGTCTCTTTTGTTTCCAAAGCAGAACTCAAAACTATTCAGTGCTTTTGCTTTCAATTTTGTCCACTAAATCAGTTGCATGCTGAGGTGGTGCCATTCGTCCGTTGTTCCATTCGTTGTCCACAATTTCTTGTGAACAGTGTACATACATTTATCATCTGATTGTTTTGAAACTGATTTGACACAAGCCATGATAAGGTGTAAGAACTTCAAATGAAACGGCAGCAAAGTTTAAATTATTTTTTCCATTTCTTGCAGGGTCAAAAACTTTAAATAATTCATCTTTCAAATTTTGTGAAATGAAATGAAATGTAATGGGGTTTTAACGTCCTACTGATCTGCTCCTATACCGGGCTAATGAAAACGGGCATACGCCATACAGTGTGCTACGGCCTACTCTTATATCGAATTCCAACTGTTAAGGGATCTTTTACGTGCACACCAATGTGTACATTGGAGCTCGGTTTTTGGTCCCATCCAAACAACTAGACAGCTGTTCTTGTCAGGCCCTCTTTCCTCCATCACTGACAAGGGGGAACCAAGCCGGAAAATTGGGATGAACTTTCTCGGCCAATGCAGGGATCAAACACCCGACCTCCAGGCTAGTGAGCCAGCGTCTTTCCCACTTAGCCACCGTGATCCCCTTCCAATTTTGTAATGGAAAAGATAACTTGTCGTTCTGTTTTTGTGCAACACATTTTGTAGACGTTACATGCCCAAAATTTGCTAATGAATACTGGACCAGTTTATTTGAAGTGTGATAATATCTAAATCTATATTCTTTAATTTAAAAATATGGCTTTGTGCCGTGTTACACCAAGAAATTGGCAAGGATCTTTCCTGGACATCTGGTTTCAAAACGGTGAAATTTCTGCACTGATAACTCTTCTACTCTCTTTCTTGGGCATGATTTCTTTGTTATTCTCAGCCATTATGTTGCAATATTAGATCAATGATTATTATATTATTAAATTATACTGCTCTGTACTGTTTTGTCCATATTGTACAAAATATTTATAACAGATGTGACTCCCTACTATGTACGGAAAGAACATTTTGTAAAAAACATTACTATTCACCCAATTAACAGGGCGAGGTGTATCTGAGTACAATGTCGGTGTTTACCTATCTTTTACATTCTTAGAGCGATCTTTTCCATTCTTAGTTGAAGGACCCTGATAGTACGAAAAATTGTGTTTTTAACTTGAGGTCCCTGAAGATGTCACAATTATTATCCGATTTAAAAATTTCCTGGGTTATAGCTCCTGTTTGTTCGAAAAATCGTATTTTTAGCTTGCAGATTCTCTAGAGGTCACAAATTTTTTTTCTGATTTTAAAAACCGTTTAAATATTTCACCATTCCACCATAATGAATGTTGAATTCGAATTTCGGAAAAATCGAAATGGAACTACCCGATAAAATGGCCGCTCTTTGTACGCAAATTGTGTAAAAGTATGCTATACAAAGGTTGTGGACCCTCTAGAGGTCACAATTTTTATCATATTCTGATGAAACTTAAAACATATCTTTATAAGTCCCTTTCGATATTGCGCATTTCAGACCATAACTTTTGGATTATTGCCCCTGATTGTACAAAAAAACCTGTTTGTTTTTAGCTTGTTCTCTGTCCATCTCTTGCAAAATGTGGGTGTATCCTGCCTGCCAGCCGCTGGTATACACATGCTGACAGAGGTTTAATTTTAAATATTGTAGTTATTATTGAAAGCTATGTCATAGTGATACAGAATTTTATTTTGTAAAGCAATTTCAGTTATGGTTGTCACCTGATCATTTTGCCATTTGTGTATCATCTACGAATGATTAAAAACTTTACAAGTGACGTGATAGACAAAAACAAAAATTTGTGTCAAATATGAAGAAATACCATGGTGCCATAATGAATCCTAATTTCGATCGACTGATAAACTACTATTATTACGAACATTTCGCTTTATCCAGAGAATAAATGAAGATAGTAATTTGTGAATTTTACTAGGGGTGACTATTGTTGGTAATTTTCATCATTGCGATAATATTGCTATTGGGTAAACAGCTATTGCAATACTATTACTATTGGGGATTAAATATTGTGATACTATTGGGCTATTGCGATAGTTTGATTTGTTTATTAGTTTAGGTTTAAAACATTTAATCAAACTAAAATCAATGAAACACTAGAAAGTTCTAGGCAATGTTAGTTAATATAATAACTACTAGTTTATCTAGTTAGTAACAGAAAACGTAACAAAAACCATCAGTTGATCTTGTATATGGACGGATGACAATATTTTAGGCAATCAGATCAGTATACATGAAGTAGCTAGCATTTAGGTTTCCAATTTTTTTTAAAGAAAATTAATTTGTCCACATGTTTTGGTTTAAGTGCAATGTTGAGTTGAATGTTATGGAACTACTCGCCCCTGTTTGTCCGTCCAGACGTCCATTCACAATTTGTTTGTGGACACTCTACAGGTAACAATTTTTATCCGATTTTGGCGAAACCTGAAATATAGGTCTATCTCCCAAAGATCTTCGTTCCTTTCGATAACGTCATGGATTATGGCCCCAGATTGTACGAAATATCACGTTTTTAGCTTGTGGACACTCTAGAGGTCACAGTTTTGATCTGATATTGATGAAATTTGAAATGCATATTTATAACCCAACTATCGTGTTTCCTTTCGATATTCGTGCATATTAGATTGTAACTTCCTGAATTATGGCCCCTGATTGTACGAAAAATCGCGTTTTTAGCTAGAGGTCACAATTTTTATCCGATTTAAACCAGCGGCTGCCAGGCAGGATACACCCACATTTTGCAAGAGATGGATAGAGAACAAGCTAAAAACAAAAAGATTTTTTGTACAATGAGGGGCCATAATCCAGAAGATTATGGTCTAAAACGTGAATATATAAAAAGGGACTCAGATTTTTGGAATATAAAGATATGATTCAAGTTCCATCAAAATAGGATACAAATTGTGACCTCTAGAGGGTCCATAACCTCGTATTACATACTTATACACCATTTGCATACAAAGAGAGGTCATTTTGTCCGGCACTTTCATTTCGATTTTCCCGAAATTCCAATTCCGCCTTCATTATGGTGGAATAGTGATATATCTAAACTGTTTATAATATCGGAAAAAAAACCCTGTGACCTCTAGAGAATCCACAAGCTAAAATGCGCTTTTCGACCAATCAGGGGCCATAATCCAGGAAGTCACATTCAAATATGTGTGATTATCAACAGGAACCAAAATCTTTGTGATGAAATCATATATTTAAAATTTCATCCAAATCGGACAAAAACTGTGGCCACTAGGGTCCACAACCTTGATATACCATATTTTTTGCGTACAAGGGGCGGCCATTATGTCCGTCAGTTTTGGTGCGATTTTCACAAAATTTGAACTCATCATTATTGTATAACTGTGATATATTCACACATTTGTTTTTTCAGTCGGATAAAAAATTGTGACCTTTATTGGGACCACAAGCTCAAAACGCGATTTTTCGTACAATCAAGGGCCATAATTCAGGAAGTTAAGATCCTTTTGATATTTGCACAATTCAGACCATAACTTTCTGGATTATGGCCCTGATTGTACAAAAAATAGTTTTTGTTTTTAGCTTGTTCTCTATCCATCTCTTGCTGGTTTATATTAATCACCAAATAGGGAAGATATAGCACTATTGGGCTGTGTTGTAGAAGACTGAATCTCGGGAACACACTAATAGACGGCTTGACAATGTTGACAATATAGGTGTCATGATTTAGGAACTTTGTGGTTGGTGCGAACTTTTAATCCCCTTGATAGAATGATAATTTCGTCATCGGTTAAGTCTCAATCACTAAGGTTGACTACTGTTGTGGTTAATAATTGTCTGGTACTATTTGAAACAGGGCATTCGGACTGATTTGTTTTTCTCTCACTGTGTCGTAATATTTTAGAGACAGTATAGATCGGAGCTGAATACACTGTTGTTCAGAAAGTGTGAATAAGTGGTGCTTCTCATTTCTATTGTAGGTAAATACACCACAAAAAGCTATCCATTAATCATTTGTGTTTATTTCAGGTAAAGTGGTCGTTGATAACATTTTATCAAATTTCATCTCCTTTGAACGTTTGTCATTATTAAAACCTAAGTAATTTTTTGTGAACAGAATGTTGACACATTAGTGATTAATTCATCACAATTCCAAGACATTACGAGAAGGTTTAGAATCTGTACACAGTTTTGATGACGTGCGAAATGTGGTATGACGTGATTGAGAGATTGATCTATGTAGCGCACTACTGTGATTCCGCCTCCTCTCCCTGGACCAAGATTTTGGAACACCACAGGAACAACTCTCTGGTTCAGGTCGATTCCACCCCAAATCATTATGCTTGGACCTCACCGTGAGTCTTGTTGATTGTGTTTGTCACAAAATTCTCTGGATAGCCGTTGAATTTTGTGAAGACATATTTGAGACGATCAATTTCCTTGGAGAGGCTCTCAGTATCCCATATCTTTTTCGCACGGTTCACCAAAGTTGAAATTGTGATTAGGGTGATTGGATTTGAAGTGAATATATTGGTCGGTGTGGGTTGGTTTCCTGTAGACACTGATACTGATTGAGTTGTTGGTTTTGGATACACAGACATCGAGGAAAGGTAGTTGATTATTATTTTCTGTTTCCATTGTGAATTTTATACGTGGGTGTTTCTGGATCATCTTGTTTGATAATAACAAAGGTATCATCCACTCGTCTAAAAAAGCATGTCAGGGTTATGGTGGACGTTCGAAGTGCATTCTCTTCTAAATCAGTTAAAAATA